GATTGGTTGACCCGAATTTTATCAGGTCGGGTCATAAGCTTGACCCGACCTGATGTTGACCTGAAAATTTGTCTACCCGACCTGGATTTTTCAGGTCGGGTCGGGTCAGATCACAGGTTGACCTGATCTGATTCGGAGCTCTACTCGTCGTGATTGTTGAACTATAAAAAAAGCAGTAATTATAAAGATAACATATCTAGCAAAACAATAATCAATCAAACTTTTATTAAAAACTTACCAAAAAAGAGATTGGTCATCAACTTCCATTTCCTCAGCTGAACTCAATATTTCATAATGGTCTTCTGCATTTCATTCTGATGGATATATTTGTTATCCTGAAGTTCATCTCTAATAGTAGTCTTGATCTATACACTCAAAAGGTTTATTTTTGTTTATATAACAAATTTGTGAAGGACCTTTAATCTCAAATTACATTCTTAGCTAAAGATACTTATAGGTTTTTGTTTTTTTTCCCTTTTGATTCATTCTAATTATCCTTTGCTTCATTCATCATTAGATTCTGTTGGATCAATTGAAAAATATTTTTTTCCATTTTCAGATTTATAGGACGATTTTCACTTCAAAGCTATCATTTCATATAATAAAAAAATATTAGCATATAATTAAACACATAATATAGATGAGTTTAAATGTTTACCAAGTTTGATGGTCTCTCACATGGTATTAGAAAGCGTATCATTTAAATTGTAATATAAGTTTAGCATTTGGAGAATTAAACTTTTGGCATTTATATCAGATGCTCTTTTTAACATTTTCATAACAGTAGAACTATTGTATCAGAAGATTTTATCTTTGAACGATTTTGATTCCTTATATATATGTGAAAAATTAAAAGTTGGTTGCTGTGATTTATACAGACATATCTAAATGAAAAAGTATACCTAAACTCATGTATCTATAAGAAGACGCATCTCTCGAGAATTAAGACTTATCCTAGTACTTTTAGCAATAAATAACAGAATTATAAAAAGCACTTCTCTAGACTCATCCAGAAAAATTCAGACACATCTTAGCTTTTACTATAAGTCCCGAAATAAAACAAATAAAACAAATAAAATGAAAGTTTCAAACCTCTAAACATTGTGATGTTAACTGCGTTACTGATTTATTGTTACTAGTCTCTACTGTTTCCAATAATTGAGAATTGTAAGAAAGTTGCTTCAAACAACTCTTGTATAACAAGTGCTCATCTTATTTTTTACCGAAGTCATTTGCGTATACTATGCTTGCTCTTCTGTAGAAATTCTACTAGGCTCCATATTCTGTTCTCTTTAAAGTAAAAGAGCTTACATTCCAAACGAGTCTTATTCATTGTTTAACGACGCAGCTCAATTTTGGCCTTAATATGCATGCTTGTCTTATAATTGCCTGATGAAACATCTAAATCTCTAGTTTCAAAAGGTTTTTAATAAGTTCATAATATAGTTTCGACTGTTTGATATAGTTTGGCAGGTTTCGACGGGCTTCGACAAGTTTCGACTGGTTAGTTTATATGATTTTATTAAGGTTTTGACACTTTCGATATTCAACGGTCTGTTTAAATCCAGAAGTTTCGTCAGGCAACTATAACTCGTCTTACTAAGCAAGCTTATGTGATGTTTATGGGTTAGGTTATACTACCCCATTATCATAATCCTCTTTATCATAATGATATCATTAATATTATTGCCTTCATCATTTTCATTATCATTATCTAAAATCTCTACTTCATCTTTATGATTACATTTCCATTATGAGATCACTTACTGCGGTTTCTTTAATGAATCATGCTTTTGTATCACGTTCCTAATCATGTGATTTGCCTCATTTTCACTTAGTAAAAGTAAAGTACAAATTTATAAAATATTACATTATTTTAATAATAAAAGAGTATAATATTTATTACATATTTTTATTTATAAAATATTTAAATAATACAACTGACTTATTTAATAAAGAAACTAATCTAATAACAAGATGCTTGACCTCAAATTCGTTATAATATTACAGTGAAGAATTTGAAACTATTTGATTGGTTAACTGACACGTGATACGAAGAATTGAAAAATAATAATCCCTTAAATTTCAAGTAACGTGTTTATCATTTCATTTTCTTCTGATATTTCATCCTCATCCTCGCCATTCAAATATTCTAATTTTTGCTCTAAAATAATTTTCTCATTTGATTCAATAAATTGTTCGCAGTGATTTATTAATTGTGGTGCTTTGCTTTGTTTTGACCATTCTAAAATTTCACACACGTTATGAACATTAATGTGACTTCTTATAATAGTATCTTCCACTTTATCTTTGAGCGCTTCAATACCATAAATATCAGTTGTCTTTAATAAATGAACCAAAAAGACTAAATAATAAGTTTCATAACTTTCATGTTCGTTTGTAAAGTCTTCTTTCTTACGTAAGACTGACTTTGTTGCTTCTTCAAAAGACTGTCCATAAAGCCATTGAAGAAACACCCGGATTGCTTCTGGCCGAACATCTTCCATTTCTATAATTTTAACTTCTTTGCTTGTTGACTCACTAAAGTCACCACAAAACATCGTATCAAAATATTTTGAAGCGCCTATTGAAAAAAAAAATTTATTATATACTTAATGGAGAAAGAAAAAAATCATTTATAACGTACCTGAAAGCACATATTTACTGGCACCAATTTGTTCCTTCTCACTACCAACGAGAAAAATGACATCGTTACATTCTTTGCAAGATTGATTTATGAGTTTATTTAACAAAGCTTCAAACAATATATCTTTTTGATCATGTTCTCGGACTGTCACATTTGATTTTATCTCAGTTATCTCGCGAGCTCCAGCAAGTTTTAATAAAACCTTGTAAGGCTTTAAATATTCTTCAACTTTATCATGTAATCCAATTATAAGCTTTTTTCCTACTTCCCAATTGTCCGTATCAAACGGATCTTCTTCGATCAAGAATAATTTCCTCTTATCATTATCAATCTTCACTTTAATCAACACCTTTTGATTTTCATCTTGTGAACATTCATTCATTATTTCGTAAATTTCTTTAATTATACTTTTTATTTCCTTACTTTCGAAGGATTTCCAAGATTTTATATTGTCAACAATAAAAAACCAATGTTCAATGATATCTTCTGTAGATGGAATTCCAATTGTTTGATGAAGCTTATTGAAAGATGTATTTGGTTCAATATTTTCATCAAATAATGGACGTTTACTCCAACATACATTCTTATATTTGTGAGAACAAAGTGTTCTAAAACTTTCAAACCCTGAAGTCTCTTTTGGCGTATGATAAAGTTGACTAGGAAGGCTATTTTCTGATGGAACGAATTTCATATCCAGAATTTTGTTCCATTGTTCTTCGTTGAAATTTAAAGCATCAACATGTTCGTATAAATAACGTACTAATACTTTTGCACGACTTTTAACTACATCTATAGGAACTATTCCTCGTTGAATATTTCTAATCTGTGATATCAATGATTCTGCACATTTAATATATGTAGTATGATTTACTTCACGATTAAGACCAATTCTTACTAGAGCTTCTAGGCAAACAGAATCATTTTGTAATTCTGGTGGTAAAAATTTGTCGTTATCTGCAACAAAAATACTACGGTATAAGAATTCGTTCATGTCATATAATTCATTGGCACTTACGAAATAACCAAGTGATTTATTAGGTATTATTCTCTGATATTTGAGATATTGCTCAATTTCGGGATTTTCCAAAGATAAAATTTTTTGCAAGAAAGGGACGCAACCTGGCCAATCTTTGGGTTTGGAATAATCCATAAATTCTGGTAACAGATATTCTTTAAGATATTCTAATTCAGATTTAGTTGGAGCATTTAAGCTAGTAAGTGTATTGAAGTCATTTTCATGATCACATTTGTAAAATTTGTTATTTTTACGAAATGAAAAGAATGGAAGCTTAAATGGAAGAAGGATTCCAGACTTAGCATTAATGAATTTGTCTTCATTAGAATGTATTGGCCATATTGGTAAAGATCTAAAGATATCAAGGAAACTTTCTTGACTCTTTCCATGTTCTATTATTTAAATAAAATAAATATAAATACATAGAAAATACAAATTCATTTATAAGAATATTTTAACTTGCCTGTTAAAGTTTCAAGTTCTTTTTTAATAAAATCTCTAAGCATTTCATAATCTGAAGGTGATAGATCATTAAACTCAAATAATTCCTCCATATTTGAAGATAACGTATTATTACGAGCTTGCTCCAACGAATTAATTATATTTATAGGAGTGCATTGCACAATACATTGTTTAAGATTTTCATTAGCGCATTCGAAAAATTTCATATTCGTAAAGCGTACTTTTAGCTTTACTAAAGTTGGAATCAATATATGTTCATTGTCATATAAAAGTGGATTTGTTATATTAGGTCGAACAAGCATAGTCAAAGGTGCAGTCATTGGTAATAGTGGAAAACTAGAAAGTATTGTAAAATCTAATTTTTCTGACTCTTTGATAAGTATTGACCAAATTTTTTCAAGCCAACGAACATTTGGTACCGATTCTCCATTAGGATCCCATTCAATGTCTGAAAATGATAGTTCATATACTAAAAGATCTAAAATTGCAATGGCATCAAACTTTTTAATACGAGTAATTTCAGAAAACTCATCATCAGTAAAAATTTCTTTAAGTTCTTTCGGTAAGTTAACAGTGACAAATTTAGATTGACCATTAATTGGAAAAAGGTCTAGATGTTCTTGTTCTCCAATATAAAGATCTTCGCCAAAGTTTCCAACTGAACCATTGCTTAATGGGACTAATGGTAATCCAGCAAGCAACTTATACGTACTTCTATCACTTTTTTTAAGAATAAAATTAAGAAATTTAAATAATGAATCACGATTTTGTTCTCTATTTCCGAAAGGTAACATCGTTTTCCTCCTTTGCAATTCTCCGCAAACAAATCTTCCGTCAATATATGTGCACTTGAAATTTGAATTTTTACTATTAGTTTTAGCTTCTTCAAGTTGGTTAAATTTTTCCTCATCAAGGTGCACCGCTGAGACTCCTAAATTGGCTAATATATTCGCAATAATAGGTTCTTCTCCCTTAAGAAATTTGGCTGTTTGTAATGAAATAAAGATCCCATCATTAGCTTCAGTCCAGAAGATTTTATAATTACGAAGACACATCTTTGCAATAACATTTAATCCATAGCTTTTGTATGAGTTTGATAAATTATCCTTAATTGGCCAAAGATGATTTGGATTAACGTCTGTTCTATCTCTCCTCCATCCGGATCCTTTGAGCAACGCAAGATGATCGAGCAGTTTAGCATGTAATTCAGGCAAAACTTCATACAAAATAAATTTATTCCATTTTGCATCGTTACAATCGGCTTGCAGAAAATCATTTTCAGATTGTGAAATATTACTTCTTGCACTAGACAAGGAGAAGTTTCCATTTAAATGAACTCTCAAATTGGTAACAATTGACAAAGGTAAATAAGAATAAATTTCTCCTCTGAATTCGGGATACGAAAACTATAATGCAATAAATTAACATTGTTAATAATTGATCAACAACGATTCAAATGAATAATAATGAATAAATAATACACTTTACCGGTTCTTCTCTTAATTCATTCAAAGATTTTTCATCAGATTTAGCAAGTAATGTAGCAACTCCGCCTCTTGGCTTTGTTAAACATACAAGTAATCAAAGAATATTTAATACTACTAAAATATATTATATAAGATTAATAAATAAAATCTTACCTTGAGTCGGTTTCCGTTTGAAAATTCTCTGAATTCCGAATTGACACACTCTCTTCCTCCTGTACATAACAGCCACATTTCTGAAACTATCTTGTTCGGTACAATTCTTTCAATATTTAATTGATATATTTGTATTGTATCAGTTACACCGCTACGGATTTTGCGGCAAGCATCGGTCATATGAATTTGCGCTTGCCATATCATTCGAGTTTCTTGTTCATTTATGTGATGTAGACTACATGATTCGATATTCCTTAAAAAGAGCATCTCCTTGATACCCCGGACATTACTGAATCGATGCAAGATGTCTCTAACTTCTACAGTTCGATTTGAAATTTCACTTATTTCCGCCAATTCGCTGGTTCTAAGCGGAAGTCTAAACAATGTTTTCTTTCCGAATCCTACTGCTTCCTTGAAACTGCAATCCCCCATGAAATCGAAACATTCGAATAAGGCTTTATAAGGATAGCACTGATCTGTAAACTTCCACAACTCCTTATCAATAAAATTAAATCTAGTGCCTCTATGCCTTCTGGGAGGGTATCCTTGTGCTGGAAGAAATTTAGCATTAGGATCTAGAAATGCAATATTTTGTCCGCTAACAATGCTTGGTAAATCTGTGACGTGAAAGGCACAATTGAAACCTATCCCAAATCTTCCAATTTTGGTATCATCATTAGTTTTTCCTCCAACCCCAAGTTTAATCAAAGCTCGAAAGTCTCTATCAGTAAATTCAGCATCATTATATATCCATAACGCGGGACCTTGCCAACCATCCATTTCGTCTGACAATAAAGAATTTTCAGAAGGATCATGCTTAAATTTTTGTCTTTCGTCTATTATTATTGAAAATTGTTTTGCACCAGCGTCATCTGCATTCTAAATTTAGAAAAATGGTATCTAAATTTTTTCGAATATAGTTTACGCTGAAAATTTTGTAAATTTAATACTTACTTGAAGAAATTCTATAAATAATTTTTCTAATGGGTAGTCCTAAAAAAAAAAAAAATTTATTAATACTTGCAAAACATTAAATAGTAAGACTTAAAAAATAGTTACACTAATAATATTTCTAATTCTGGTAGTCAAAGATTCATCTTGTTCATAAATATCCCAATCGATATCTCCGGACTTAATACCTAGTAAACGAAATAAATGCAAAATATAGTTATAATGTATTATTTAACATATAATTATATGATAAATAATTTACCATATATTTTTCCCATTAAGGTTTGAATTTCTAATTCTCTAGCAATATCAAGAGTTATGAGATGATGAGTAATTTTAAATTCTCTCCTCTTTTCTTCGTCAAGTCTATCTCCCATATCATCAAATTGGATTTCATCCAAGTTTATAAATTCACTTTCAGTGCTCGGAATTAATAATCCCTCCAAGCTTGCAGGTTTCTTTCCTTCCCTCCGGTTATCCTTTTGTATACTTGCAATTTGTTCAAGAATTTGAACGATATCTTTAATTACATTTTTCATTACGTCATCTGATGAACCTTTCTTTTTATTTTCCTTCACTATATTTTTAATTATTAAAATAAAATCTTTGATTCCAATTTCATCACGAACTCCCATATCTTTAAAAAAATCCTTTAATTCGCTGGAATAGGGAAGTTCGACAATTATAGAGTCGTTATCACTAAATCTACTTGAAAGACGAAAAACAACCTTATCAACTGAATAAAATTTATTTTTGCACAAAATCCACGATTTATTTTCCAATTGACTCTTTATAATATCGAATTTTTTCTTAGAACTCTCATCATTTGCTTGAAGAGTTTTATTCATATATTCGTAAATGGCTTTACAAATATTTTCCAAGTTTTTTGGTAGTTGACTGGATTCATAACATAACTCTAACTGCCTTAGAACATTTTCGACTTTAGGAAAAGTATCCCACTCCAAATGTTTTAAAAATTTCTTATTCTTAACTTTGGATTCAAGTATAGGGACAACTAAACTAACTAAATCTTTATCTTTTTGACAACAACAATTTTGAGGTTTCGAGAAGATTTTTTTGCAGGATGCGTCAATGGTAGGGATCCACTCTTTTTCCAAAAGAGTATTCAAAAATATTTGATCATTATTAATAATTATCTTGTCCCAGTTATCATCAATATATTTAAAAAGTTTAAGTGCATTGCTACGAATTAAATCTTCATGAAAGTTAGAATTATGCTTTCGTTCTATAATGGTATTAATTCGAGAGATCACGTCAGTTGAAGAAAGATCAGATTTCATTCCTAATAATTTCAAATTCGAAAAAAACTTATTTGAAAATTTGTTAATTGGAATGCCATATCTTCCTGCAGGAAAAACTTGCTCCTCTTCAAAAAATAGACCAATTAATTTGTTGTCTTCCGGATCGAATAATTCTGTAGGTCTAACCAAATTTACTATAGCAGGCATTTGTCGTTGCTGTGACATTTTTTGTGTCCCAATAGGTATAAACGAAGTTTTTCCCAAAACATCTTTTAAGTTTGCGTCATGATCAAGTAAGGATGGTAATTTATCAAAAAGACTATCGACTACTGTATCTATGACTGCTTGCTGTTGTGATCCGAGATATGGTATTACATATTTTTTCCAATAAACATATGAATCTAATCGCGTTATCTTAATAATATCTTCCAATATGTAAGATAAATTTTGTGAACTTGTGTTAAGAAACCTTCCCTCGTTCCTTGGATAAATAATTTTACCATATGCATTTTCTTCATTCCGAGGAAGAAGATACCAATTTGTATTACCAGGCAACAATGAAATTGGTGAAACATGATCAACTTCGAAAAAGATTGAAAGATTCTTAATAACTTCAACATAATTCGCTATTTGATATCTATTAGCAAGTCGTAAGAAATTAGATAAATATTTAGCGAGTACTGATGCTTCATGAGTTTGTAATGTCGTTTGGTTTAAATTTTGTGGATATGAAGTATCGGCTCGGAAAGAACCCAAAACTGATAAAATATCATCAAGCTTGATAATATATGGAGTTATTCTAGTAGAAAATGTTGGTTTAGTTTTTTTTAATACTGTACATCATACAAAAATTAACAATTTATACTTACTTATTCCATCTAGTAATTTTTCCAACGTCAAATTCATGTTTCACGAAAACGCCACCAAATTTTTCAAAAATATTTGTTAAATCAGTTGAAATATTTTCGCTTGAAAAAATTTTCTTCGGGGTATTTAACTTTCTAAGAGTAGAGCGATTTGTTGGGATCAAATGAATATCTTCGAATTTTTTCAAATCCCAATTTCTGTATTTTAGGTTATCCCATAATTTATAAATCCATTCACGATGATTTAACATTCGTATCTCTTCAGAATCCGTATTTTCAGATTCCAGTGAAAATTTAATCATATCAGCAACAGCAGTTTCGTCCAGGATTTTAATGTTTAGATTCCATTCAATAGTTGACACACAATCGTACAAACTCTTATATAATCCGATATCAATCGTTTTGTCGATAAATTTGTATTTTTGATTTTTAAAGATGTTCAGCTCATCAAAACTTTCAATATTTACAATGTAGTCATCTGGACCTACATAAACGTAAGAATTACTATGCTTCGATAAAGTACCAAATGTACCATCTGCAAGCGGAATCATCTTAAAACCTTCCAATTCTTCAAAATTTTTGTCCTTCAACACATAATCAAGTAACAATAAGATTTCTTTTCTTGGTATATCTTGCCATCTATCACAGTTAATGTTCAAATAAGTACGAATAATGGCCGGAGAAAAAGTTTTAAGAGAATCTTTATGCCTAGAACCTTTCAAGGCTTCAATTATATCATGAAATGTTGATATAACAGGAAATCCAATGCTACCAATTATTTTAGGTAAATCATTATACACCTTATTATCTTCAAAATATCCATTAGAAATTGATAACCAATGAAATTCGGATTCTTTGAATAAATTTGTATTATATGAATTTTCCGGAATTTCAGATACTTTTCCAATATCATATGATGAAGGAGGTCCTTTGAATACACGATCCTCAACATTAAGATTTTCTACAACATTCTGCAACAGTTTATTGCAAAAATTAATTATGCTGCCTGATGTTCCTTCTCGAACTATTGGCCAGAATTTATATATATCATTGTACCTAATATTAGAAGCTTTAAGCGGGAGCTCACGAAGAAACTTTGCCCAAGCCCTTGGTAGGACAATTTCAAATAAATATCTGTTCCATGAAACTTTTAGGCTAGCTAACGAATCCGCCGCCTATATTTTGACATTCATTCGAGATTCAATTGTAATTAAATTATTATTATTATTTTTTTTTAAAAAAAAAAATTATATATACAATAATTAATAAAAATGTTTACCAGGTCTTCTTTGTCTGCAGCCGACCATAAAGAACGACGATTAGTACTAACCTGTTAGATATATTAAAATAAATATATAAACATTCAAAATGATAGCGTTGTGTAACAATAATATTAAGCTTTCACTCTTACAGCAAAATATCCATGTACTGAAACGAGAAAAGGCATAGAAATTGGAAGGGGTAGAAAGCAAAATAATCTTCCCGTAGCCCTCAAATCATTTAAGGGAACGGCTAAACCAACGTTAGGGATGAACTTGTAATCTCCTATATTTCTTTTAAATTTCTCATGAAAATATGATTCTGCTTCAAGTAAGTCATCAAGATAGTTAAGAATCAACCATGAACTACTCTTTTTGGAACTTCTTGTTTGACGACAGAATGACGCAATGTAAGACGTATCTAATTGATTATTTCCTTCAAGTTTCCCTAATTTTAATGAATTCATCATTGGTACAATGTTTTCAACTATCAACCGACGGTTTTCTCGAACTTTATCGGCATTTTCCAAATTAATTGCATATAATAATTCGGGTTCAGTAGCACCTTGTTTTAATTCATAAAAAGAAATGCGTTCAATATATTTTAAAAACAGTAAGCAATTAATGCTTTCATTATCGTAAAATTTATGAAACATTTCTAAAATCTCGTCAGGTTTATAAATTTTTTTAGAAATATTCGAATCAATAGAGTCATCTTCAGTACGAAGAGGGTAACGAAATACAGTTCCTTCATATAATTTGTCACACGGCATTCTAAAAGGAGCAAACTGATCAGGATGTGATTCAGCCAATTTATCTCCGACAAAGTCGAATTGGAAGCCACCACTAAAATACCATTCATGAGGGTCAAGAATAACGTAATTATCACCAGTAATAAAAGAAGGAGAATCGGTAATATGATAAATTGAATTAAAACCGACGCCCATTACTAAAATTTATATTAAAGATGATTTTAGAATTCGCGATAAAAATTTATTAACTTGGAAATTAACAGCGCATGGTTTTCTTTACCTCCGATTTTATCAAATTGATCACGTTTTTCACTATCCGCCAATTTCAACAAAGATTGAAAATCTCTCTCTTCAAAAATGGTATTATTTTTTGCCAATAATGCGGGACCTTGATATCTATCAAGTTTCAAACTTGTTCTTTGATATTTATTTTCCAGTTCGGGTTCAAATACACTATCCGATGGATAAGTATTACGATCCAAAATGAAAACTTGTTCAGTACTTTTTGCATCGTCAGAATTTTGGAGGATTTCACGAAGAACTTGTGAACCATCAGGATATTCTTCAAGAATTTTACGTAAACGATGTGTATAGGGTTCTCTTGGTCTAAATTCTTTTCCTCTAGCTCTTCCAGGAGTGCCAGATTTATTAGCCATTTTTAATAAATTGATATTAAGTTAGGATTAATGAAAAGAATAATTCATTTTCAGCCAATTTGATCAATTTATATAATGTTTTTTACGGAATCCAGAATTCCAAAAAGGGTATGTTTGATTACGATAAAACTATTCCTTTTTGGTGAAATCCTTTTAATACAAAAAAAAACACAAAATTTCCAAAAAAAACAAAACAAATACCAGAAATCATAATTTGTATACTTTGACAAACTCAAAGCGTGCTTCTCAAAGACTGTTCCGTCACACTTTTCCAAAAAAGATATTTGATGTGGTGGTAATTATGACGCCCACAAAATGCACGCAATAATGCCGCAGTCTACTTTTATTAAAACATGCTACAAATAAGGATCGCTCTAATCACAAAATATTTTAATGTTTGTTCTACTTACTGGAGCTAATAATAGAATCAGTACAAAATTAATATTACCATCTTAGGTAATAATCATTTTTGTGGAATTTCTTCTCTTTTTTTAAAAAAAAAAAAATTTATTATTTTTTATTATAGTAAAAGCAATATTTTGTTGCTCGACTTTTCTAAAATTTTTAAATAAATAAATAATCATAATAAAAAAAAGAACCAATGCAAAATAACATAGAATTAAGCGAGCCTTTACATGACAATAATAATGGTTCTTCTCACTCAATTTTTCAACGAAATGACTCTTCAGAAAATTTAGTCGCACTTCCACTACCAAGTAAAAATCAGCACATTGGAAAAAGAATTGTATCAAAATTGTTGACTGAAGGTGAGAACGTTTTATCAAAAACTCAATTCAACGCTCGCCCTAGCAGTAATGATGATACGAAAAAAAGATCAATCACGATTTCTGGACGTTCTGGGTTGGATATTGATTCTAATAAGGTGTGTTCATTATCAATTTTTAAGAATGATTACTTTATTATAATTATTATCTTTTTTTTTTTTTAATAATTAACTGAAAATTAAAACTTTATATTCTAAATAAATTTTTCTGAATTTTTTTTTCTTTTGTTTAGGTAAATGTTACAAAAACAAGTTTACAACGTTCGAGTACTGTTGTTAATTATGAAAATAGAAAGGGGTCGTCAGCAAAGATAGGAGAATTTGAGAGTAAGCTTCTTGGCTCTCCTAATTCTGGATCGATAGAAAATATGACATGCGCTGCAATGTTTGGAAAACAATATCTTCTTATCGGCAATGAAAATGGGCTGAATGTAATTGATTTTTCTATTAATTCCGAATTGATTAAACCAATACCATTGATCAGAGGTTGCTCTTTTAAAAAAATGCAAATATTAGATGAATATGGGATTATGATTACAATTGCTGGAAAGAAACAGATGATTCGAATTTATAAATTAGACTCTTTGTTACATTTAATCAAGTTCATGTTACAATCAAAAACGGAAAAACCTATAGATTTTTCAAAAACACATACTTTTCTGAAAAAAATTACAGATTCATTACCGAGATGTGATTTTTGTGGAAATCAATTAGACGAGGCTACAATGTCCGAGGGATCAAAGAACGGAAAGTTGATATGTCAAAATTGTAAAGATCCCGACGAATGGTCATCCATAGATACCTCTTCATCAAATTCACAGGAATTCAATTCGTCCACTTCGTCAACAGGAACATCATTATTTCCTGGCAAATTTCATCAACGTACCTTGTCAAACATTTCAATGCATTTATCTGATTATATTCAACATCAACTTTCTAATTCTTTAGACAATGTTGACATTAGCGCGGAAGAAAAATCAAACGTATGGCACTGGGCTACTGATTACGTTAAATTGTTGGATAGTGCTAGGGATTGTATTACCTTTGACGTCAGGGAAACGAGGAGATATATTTATTTAACAGTAGTAACACACAATCATATGATCCATTTGTTTAGTTGTGATATTTGTACCAAAAATTCTCCCGATTTTAAATTTGAGTTGGCACAAACTTTTTGGGTTCCAGAAATTCCAGAATTTCTTAGCGTATCAACCGATAATTATGTAATCAACAAAATTTATACAATCATAGATGGTAAAGCGGCATTCATTGATGCTCACTCAAGTGTAGTAACGGAAATTACCATGTCAAAGAGTCTAATCCCAAGATTCGAGGAGAATCCGGCTTGGCGAAATTTTATTCCACTTCCAAGCACATGTTCATTAGACTTTCTAATTCGAAATCCTACAGAATTTGAATTGCCAATTTCCGTTATCCCTTTATCCCCGACCACTAAAGTTCCTCCAATACCTCCAATGCCACCAACTCCTACATCACCCCCCATAATTTCACCACCTTCAATATTAATGAATCACATAAAATTCAGTGACAATTTCAGAAATAATCCATTAAGGAGATCAACGCACAGAAATCGTAGAAGTGTTGACTTTGTATCAGATGGTATTCCTTCCAACAAAAAATCACGTCGACAATCGTCCGGCATGATGAATCATGAAACTTTAAATTTAGAGTCTTCACCATTAGGTGTTGTAGCTTCCATGATCCAACAAAATAAGCAAGAACAATCACAACCTATCAGTGATTTAATTTCTCCACCAATCTCACCTAAATTTGCTAATTTATCTGACATCACATCACAACAAGGAACCATATCGGTTATTCAAGTTCAAACTGCTACATTTGATTATGCTCCATTTCCGGCTCCTCCTCAAACACTACCAAACAAAACTAATTCAAGAGAATCATTATCTTTTAATCAATCAACGAATACTCCTCATTCAGAATATCACAGTAGGACAAAACCAGAAGTTCCGATAGAAGTACCATTACCATCGACTCTATTCCTTGCGACCGTGCATAATATTTCTTATTTAGTCAATGGTAATGGCGAATCATACAAATATCATCATCCAATACGATGGTCTTCACCTCCAAACGAAATTTCATTATTACCTAGTTTTGATGATGTTTTTGTAATAGGATTTCTAAATACTACTATTGAATTGGCTTCGATGAAAACTGGTGAAATTATAAGAAAGGTTGTAAATGGTTGTCCTGTAAATTTTTTAGGTAATACTTGGAGAAAGAATGATATCATTAAACAAAGGAGAACGTCGAAATTTAATAAAAAATATGAATTTGATAGCGGAATGAGAAGGAATGTTTTCTGGACTTGTAAATTGGGCGAAACGTATTATTTTTATCGTGGTAGAGTTATTGACAAAGAAAATTAAATGATGCGAAATGTAAATAATAATAAATGTGTAATTTCTCACATTTTTTTAAAACAGATACTTTGTATGTACTATTCAAAAAAAAAAATAAAATAAAAATCAAAATCAAAATATTTTGTTAGAACTTTTGTAAAATGATTTATTTATAATATTATTATTCATCAAAAAATTATAAAATTTGATTTTAAAACAATATTAAAAAGAAAATATAAAAAACGCGGAAAATCGTAAATATTTAGTCAATTGAAAATTCTTAACTGTCAAAAAAAAGGTTGATCAAAAAAACTATTAAATTGAGATAAAAATCATTAAAGAATTTTGATTGGCGGGAAATAAATCAATAATTTGGGTAGAGGTAAGTAACAGTAGATATACGTCATTAAGTTTAAAAGATACTTAGTTGAACAGGAACTTTTATATCTTAAAAATCAAATATCCATTTTTTTCCGTTGGCGTTTTATATCGTACTGATTTCAACTTAAGGGTGTTTTGCTTTAATTAAAATAATTAAAATAATAAAAAATAAATCGATGATCGTTTGATTCCTTTTTTTATCCCTTTTTACAATATAATTTATTCATTTCAAAACAAAGAATAAGAATTAATTTTCATTGTGTATTTTCAACTTGTTCTTAAACCTGTAAGGTGTAGTAAATTTCATAATATCAAAAGAAAGGGATTGTGTGATCAACAAAACAATCAATAAATGAAATGGAATTCCTTTTATTCTATTTTATCACACGGAAAATTTATTTATATTCCCAATTTATTACAGAATTTCCCTTTATTTTCCAAGGATTTAAAGTAACCAATTTTTTATTTATTTTATTCAATATTACGCCTTCTGTGAAACAAACTATCTCGCTAAGTACAGTTCTTTCCCAAAGGTAAAGGAAAAAAAACCTTAATGATAACATAATATATTCGATTTCCTTTTGCATGTACGCTAATAATTCTTCACATGATACTCTAATAAATTTTAATATAAAAAATCAATCATAATGATATTTCTTACATCATTTCAAAAAACCCTTCCCTGCCATTATCCTTTTTTTTACTAAATCAACGTTCTTTTTTTTTGTACTTTTCGAATTAAAAAAATATTATTCTGTCTCTATTTATCTTTCTTTCACTACCATGGATGGTTCTACGTTGTTCTCACGTCGTTTATTCAAACGAAAATTTAAAGTGTACCCACAACAAAAGTGCGCAGAAAACAGAGAAAATCCGGATATGAATAAATCCATTTCTAATTCACGTTCAGGTTTTGTATCACAAAAGTCGCTATTAACTGAAACGTCGGCCCCGGGTGAAGAAATCGTTATCCCTTCTAACAAAAGTTCCAAAACTCAAAACTGCGATAATATGCAAGAGAACACGAAGGATGGGTTATCACGTGACGATGCGATCGTCTTGCGATCAGAAGACATTATTCAACAACAAAAAGTCGTTTTAGAATCCAATGGTTCTTGCGCAAACATTGCAAATGCACTACAGCAAGATACTGCCGAGGCGACCATTCTTAACGCGGTGCATAAAAGCTCGACAGGTAATTATATTGAATGGCTTGGAGAAATAAAGAATATGTATTTTAATCTGTTGGGTAAGATTAATCTTTTTAAGAAGAGTGATGATGTTATAGTGAAAGATCATTGGAAGGTAAATAATTTTTTTGTACGTTCTTGTAACTGCACTAATTATGAAAGGTCTAAAAGGATTCCATTTCTCTAATTTATTAGAAGGATCACACGGCAAAATGTTGTAGTTTTTGTCATAAAAAGTTCACGATGTTTTTCAGAAGACATCATTGTAGGATGTAAGTTTTCATTGATTTTATTCTTAAATTGCCTTTCAAGTAAGGAAAAATCTTTTGATCCTTTCTTTCCTTAGATGCGGATTCATATTTTGTTCAACTTGCTCATCTGGTAAAACACTTCTCGACCCGAATCTTGCGATGCCAGTACAATTTGTTGCCGCGACGGCTTCAAATAGAAATATAAATTACAACCGTAATTCAGGAGGATTCGATTTCGATGGATTCGAATACAATTACCTTGATGATGATGAATCAGATCAAGAACAGCAGGAACGACAAGAACAACAACAAAAACAAAATTACGAATTTCAATACGATTTAGATCAAACTTATGGGCAATTTGAGCACGACCATGAAAACGAACAAGAATTTGATGAGAATAATACGGACGATTATTTTAGCGATGATTCCATTAATACGGATTATTCGTATTCTAGCTCAGACTCTAGTTCATTTTTCGATTTTAATAATACTACGTGTGATTTAATCTACAGTGATGATTCGTCGATGGTGATGAACAATGATGATGAATGCGACAAGAATGACAAGATCATCAGTTTTGAGAGCGAACCCGTGCGCGAAAGAATCTGTATAAATTGTCACGCATTTTTTGAGTTGGACGAAAAAGATTGGTTTTGTGATTAAAACTTTTATAAAAAAAAAAAATACACAGAACCTTTGAGGAGATTATAAGACTTTTGGACTTTCTTTTTTCCCTTTTTCGCAAAATTTTTTTTTTCCTCGTTTTAAAACATGTATATAGAAAGTTATTCGTGTATTGTGTATATATTGAGGGACTTGAAAAATTGGAACCATTAACATCAGAAATAAATATCACGAATTAAGCTATTCATGTGAGAAAATAAGTCTTAATTAAATGGAATGGCTTATACTTATGATTTCATAGTATGTTTTTTAATCAATCACCCCATGAAGTTTTCTTTTTTATTGGGAAAACAGGTAATTATTTCATTATTATCCTTGATAACAAGATAACTAAAATTCGATTACTGTGCCACAATTTTTTATACTCTGGTTATTTTATCTTGAATAACCTGTTTACACAAATAAAAGGGGTATTCGGTATTTTCTTTGAATCGTTTTTGCAAACGGGTTTTTTTTTGATCCACAAAGTGTGTAACAGACCGTTGTTTTGTTGGAATTTATTCACCTTGTAACATATTTGAATTTGTATTATAATCAAATGTTACATTTGTTACATAATCAATTTAACATTCGTTCATTTCACAATTCCTTGTTTAGCTTTTTCCATTCTAAAATTGTAGAGTTTTTTTTATCCATTAATGTGTTAAACTATTACTAAAAAAAAAATTATACAGCCAATCTAAATTACTTTTGAAACACAAAATCTAAATTTTTTTGTTTCAAACGTCGAGTGATTTAATTGGTTCTTGGTATATATAATAAAAAAAATTATATCTTTGAAGGGTAAATAAAAAAAAGTTTATTACATAAAAATTTACAAAAGTTTAGGATAACCACTTACTATAATAAAAATCGGTTTATTTATAGTAATTTTAACAATATTAAATAAATAGATTTAAGAATTGTGCTATATTATCAAAAATAAAAAAAATTTGATTTTTAATAATATAAAAAATTAACACATTTATTATTTCATAATCTAATTAACATAGTGTCAGCATAGATAATTTCATTTCATCCTTCACATGATAATAATTCATATGCATTTTTGTTAATCAAATCTAAATTCTATTTCTTTTATTATAGATTTGGTTGATATAAATTTATGATATAAGATAGACTTTTCTTGTACCTTAGAAAATTCTTATTCTATTAGTACTTCAAAAAGCTTGAATTCTTAAACTAGCAATATATGTCTTTACTTTTATTTACTGATAAATTAAAATATATATTGTAGTATAGGATATCATATTAAGTCTTAATTAAATAAAGGATTTAATAAAAGAAGAAAGTTTTTAATTCCTTTATTATATTTTAATTTATTATTAATATTAAAACTATTGATACTTTTTTGGAATTATTATAACTTAATTTTTATATCAAAAAGAACTATCTTATTATAATAAATTTGTATTACTATTTCTAATAATATAAATTAACTAAAAAAAAATTATTAATTTATATGTAATATTTAAATAAAGATCATATAGGTAGTATTCTATTAAAATTGAGGTACAGATCATATGATTTACACTTTTAATAGATCAGCTCCCATATGATATCACGTGATATAGAAGTTTATATTGTATTTATTATATTGTTTGTTATAATGATTTCACGTATAATCACTAGTTATAATACAATTTTACGTCATAATGCTATTAAAAAATCTTTCATCTTTTAGCCTTTATCAATTTATCAATATTGTTTGATAGATATTTCTTTTGAATCCTTAACTATGAATGAAACAAATCAAGAAAGTCAAGAAAATATTACTTGTGATAAATAATATAATTGCTTTGACTTTGATACAAACTCATATATTTTTTGTTTATTTTCTATATTATTCACCTTTATATGTTTTATATGTAATCATACATTGATATTTATCATCTAATTAAAGAATTTGACTTGCCTATTAAATTTCTGAATAAAATCTAAAGTTATTTAATAGTGATAGTAAATCTGATAAAAGAAATGAGCTATTTATACCTTTAAAATTGACTTCTAGACTTACCTTTCTTGTCTAGAAAGAGTTCAAGAATTGGATATACAATTTTATGTTAAAAAACAGTTTCAATTATAAGATTAGAACAAGCGAAAAATTAAAGGTATAATGTATAGGGTTATTTACGAATATACAAAATATGGGTTTTATAATCTGCAAATTTCATCAAATCTGATAAAATGACATAATACTCAATCCTAATAAATACAATATTCTTGAAAACTTAATGTACTTATCTGAAAACAAGTAATATTATAAGAATTAACTCATTTAATAATAAATATAATCACTCATTTATCTCGATAATCCAAGAAATAGCTCCATAATTTCAGAAGTTAACGAAAGAAATGTTGGCTGATGTTGAGAAGTACGTCATCCAAGGGCAGATAAATTCAAAATTTATATATTTCTTATTAAAGCATGATTATGTAAATCAACCTATACACAAGCAGGATTTATATCGTGATTTATTAGTTTTGATAAAAAAATAATCTGAAAAATGAGAATATCTCACAGATATTTTAACAATTAATAGATTAAAAAGATTTGGATCTACTTTAAATTATAAAGATTCAGTTAGATCTAATTTTGAAAAGATTAATTTCTGTTTTATAGATATCTTCTATACAAAGAGAGTTATATGGCAAATATAATAATGTTATTATAATAGATAATATTTATAATACAAATTGATTTCAAATGATGCTTTATATCATAATTAGTTGATAATAACTATAGAACCAAAATAGTAGTATTGAAGATGAGACTCTAAATACCTACTGATAGATACTTGATAGCATACTTACCGAAATGAGTATTTCTTTTAAAGTTGTTTTACTGATTTAAATCTTTCTATAATTTGTTCGATCAAGAATATTTATCCTAATATTCAGCACTTGTTATGCATTTTTTATATAGATTTGAATCTTCAGAAAAAACTTAAAGAAAAGTTGAGCAATTAATTTAAGGAATTTCACTATTAAATTTTATTTATGTATAAATTCTCTTTATGAAGAACTATTCAAGCTTCAATAAAACTAATTAGTTAAATAATATCTAGCAATAGAGAAGTATTTGTATTTAACCAATATTCTTTACAGAATTAAGAAGTCATAAGTAATACTTTAGATCCACAAATAATTTACAACTAGTATATAAAACATCTAACAAATCAAATCAATAAATAAATATATACACAATAAACTAGATTATATCATATCATTATGTAATCTATTAGTTAGTATTAAGGATCATATTAAGAAAGATGAATATCTTGAAAATTTTGAAATTGAATAAAATGCCTTACCTATAACCAGTTTGCTGATACTGAATATAAGATTCTTTACTCAGATTGATGCTATTATTAAATACTTTTTAACTCCTATAATACTTAGAAAATAAAGATCGCAAATAAATCAATCTATATGTTATGATATTAATTGAATTACATATTAGCATCATTTGATAAAGAGTTAAGATAGAATTAGAGGAATTTAATGAATAGTTAATGAGGATTTAGAATAGATAGAATTAAAGGGAAGGCTTAATGATGGGGTTTGAATATGATTAAAGGATTAGACAAAGATTGAAAGAATTGATTTTATTAGATTGATAATAAGTAACATTAGAGTATATGGTTACAAGTAATAAATTAACTTTTTATATTTTTTATCTTATAGATAGAAACTGATGATGAAAAATTAAGTTTAAGAATCAAAGAATAAAAATAGAATATGTGTCAGATTCTTTTCTGAACTTTAGCTAGAACTATATTATTAGAAGCAATTCTAAAAGTATGAAACGTATGAGCAACTAATACATAAAGAATTAGATATTATATAATTTTACTTAATGAAAGTACTCATCTATATACTTGTCTTCTCTTAATTAGTAAAAAGTTATTATGTTAACACTTTTTCTGAATTTAATCCTACTCTAAATTTGTTATTTTTCACATAAGTATGATCCCAAATAAATGGTATTCAAATCCAAATATTGAACCGAATGATCTTTTGTAAAAATGCTTTTTCATTTTAGTATGTGATAAAATATAATTGAAAGATAATATGTTATTTGAAAAAGATATTAACTTTTAACATTATTTTTTCATTCATATTGATTTATATACTTTTTAATCATCTATAGAATCACCTAAAGCTATTTATGTAAAATTAACTGAATTATCAAAGAAGACTATTAACTGTGCCATTAAGGCTAAAATTAGTAAAAGTTCTAATAAGTCCTAATTGATCTTAAAGAATTTAAAGATAATTTTAATTTATATATTCTTTATTAAATTTTTTAATAATAAATTAATCTTTTTAATAATTATTATATATTAATTATTTTATTAATTTAAAATAAAAAAATTCTTTAAAAATAATAAATATACTTAATTTAGGACCTGATCCTAGGACCTAAATCCTAAGTCTAAAATTTTAAAGATATTTTAAATTTTAAAAAGAAATTTAAACTTATTTTAATAAGTAACTTTAATTAAAAAATTGAATATAATAATAATATTTAAAAAAAATTAATCTTTAAAACTAATAATTTTTTTAAAATTAATCAGAACTAATTAGAACCAATTAGGATTTTTACCAACCCTAATTAAGGCTGATATACAACATGAATTTATTAAAAATTCTTAAGGCTTTTATTTATGATATACAGAACAAAGTGAAAAAACTGAAACAGAAAACTTAACTGATGTTAATAATTCTACTATTGTCAAACATAAAGGATAATCTTCAAAAAAGTTAAAAGCAAGTGTTGAAAAAGACTTACATAGAAAAAACAGGTTTTAAAAGACAATATATATCAATGCAAAAACATTTGTATCTCATCAAATAAGATAAAGATTTACATCAAGAAAAATATGATACGACTATAATAATGGTAGGCTGAAAATTATTTTCGATTAATATAAATCCAATTAAACCTTTTTCTCAAAAAATTTTTTTAATAAAAT